AAACCATTTCAGGTGACTACCTCTTGAAGCTCATGGAGAGAATGCCAAGAGTGTGCAAAGCAGTAATCAGAGCAAAGGGTGGCTATTTTGAAGAAACTAGAATATAAAACATGTTTTCAGTTATTTCACCTTTTTTTGTTAAGTACATAACTCCACATGTGTTCATTCATAGTTTTGATGCCTTCAGTGAGAATCTACAATGTAAATAGTCATGAAAATAAAGAAAACGCATTGAATGAGAAGGTGTGTCCAAACTTTTGGCCTGTACTGTATATAGCTAACAAGGCGTACAGTAATAAAAGCTTAACACTCTCCAGTAACATTCAGTGTCTGGCTGCTCTGCTACCATGCTTTTATGTCTTCGTTGAGACTAGGGTGACCAGACGTCCCGCATCGCGCGGGACTGCACAGCATTTCTGTCTCTTTTCATGCGTTACGCAAATTGAGACCATGTCAATTGAGACATGTCTCATGTCTCCAGATTTTAAGAATCCTCACATCCCACTGACCACAGTTCTCTGTGTTGCTGAATACTTCAATAAACAAAACAGTCCAGGGTTAATATGGACTCTGTATAGTTTATGATTAATTTTAATATTTAGTCTCTGATGACTAAACTTCTCACTGGGGGCAGATGTCCCACATTGTCCCTCACAAACCTACTCCTTGTCCCACATTTGGTTTATTGGGACCTGGTCACCCTAGTTGAGACTTGAGTTGATCGGAGTGGCAGTGACATCACCAGTGCCTTTCTGAAAAAAATCTGAGCTTTCTAACTAGAAGCACTTAGGGCAGTCCCACAAAATAGGCAGAGCAATCTGAAAAAAGATGCTGGGCTTGGTGCTTTTTCTCCTTACTGGAAACAAATGAAAAAGTTGCTGGTGCTCAGAAAAAAACGCTATGTGCACACAGGCCGTAAGATACGCCCAGTCACTCTTACGTGCTGCTAAAGACTAAGGGGGTGTTGGCTGGTGACAGAAGATGCCACCATATGTCACCTGCCACCAGATCAATAAAAAGCAGAATTCAGAGATTTGTGGGAATGAAGACATGTTGGTAGAAAATAAGATATGACAAAGGTGTCTTTATCTTTCAGAAGTCATGATTTAACTTTTGTCTGCAGGTCAATAGTAGAAGAGGCAATGCAATGTAAAAAGAAAATCCTTCAGAATGACGGAATAGTGACTAGTCCATGTGCTCGACCACGCAAGGCAGGACACACACTGCTTATCCTGGGAGGCCAGACCTTCATGTGTGACAAGATATACCAGGTAAAAGACAGACACAGTCCTCCTTGGAAGACCTGTTTTCATGTGTGACAAGATATTGCATGTGTTATAGAAAGTATAAGGTGTCCAGTTGGCTTGGCTTAAAGTGCATATTAAATGTTAATAAATGAGAGGAATTAGTTTAGAAAGTAAAGCATACTCCTCATTGTTAAAAAGATTATTAAGCTTGTTTCCTGCGAGAGTTTACCGCATACCGTCATACGTAATAATGGATTACTCCTATAGAGATCCACTCACTACCACTGTATGTATGATGTCCTGACAGCCTAGGGTTGTAAGATGCATCCTATAATTACAACATCAGCCGGCCATTAATGGGCAGGTTGCTGGTTCGATTCCAGGGTCCTCTGCAAGACACTGAAACTCCAGTTGCTCCTGGTGTATGTATGTGGGGGAAAATGTAAAGATGATTTTAAAAATGTGATTTTTTAAATGTGAAAACTGTGAGTCAGAGATTGAGCTACACTGATATAGAACTGCAGATTCAACCCAAATTCTGCATGAAATTATTTTAAAAAATCAATGCAGATGTCAAAAACTGATCTCTCTTTTTATGCCTCTGCGCCAGTGATAATCATGGCCGGAGGCATTTTGTTTTAGGGTTATCCATCCGTCTGTCCGTCCCATGCTTGTGAACGCAGTATCTCGACAACACATCAATGGAATTTTTTCAAATTTGGCACAAATATCCACTTGGACTCAACAATGAACTGATTAGTTTTTGATGGTCAGATGTAGGGCTGGGCGGTATGACAAAATTTTCATATCACGTTTTTTTTTTTTTTTTGTTAAATCATATTGGTTTCACAGTATTTGACGGTATTTTGCTCAGGTTCGGCCCACTTGACATGCTGCTGTGTTGTGCTATAGCCTATTCAAGTGCTGGAATTTGTTATTTACATGACAACGCCTGAACGCAACACAGGTTCAGCTCCATTAGTGCTGTGCTCGCTTATAATTGTCTCAGACTCGGGTCGGCTTTGGTCAGGAAAATGCGGCCCGAGCCGTGCTCTAGTGTGCTCACCTGTGTGTGTGTGTGTGTGTGTGCGTGCATGTGTCTGTGTGTGTGTGTGTGTGTGTGTGTGTGTGTGTGTGCGCATCAGGGCGAAACTCCGCCATGTGCGATACAGAGAGCAGAGGAGAATTGTAAAGGCGCGACCATGTAGAGACAGAAATAACATGTTTCTCAAAGCGCAAATGCAAAGAATTTATAGATTTCTCCATTTATGACCGATTATATCATCAAAAATATTCAGAGAATCGGGGCGTCGGTAGCGTAGCGGATAGTGCCGGCGCCCCATGTACAGAGCCATTGCCTCGCTGCGGCGGTCGCGGGCTGCATGTCAGTCCCCGCTCCTCTCTCTCTGTCTCCCCATTTTACACACTGTCCTATCCATTAAAGGCAAAAAGCCCACAAAAATAATCTTTAAAAAAAAAATATTCAGAGAATCTGGAAAAATCTCTGCATGTAAGGGGCAAGGCTGAAAACCAACATTGAATGCAAGTGACCTTTGATTCCTCAGACTGCACTGAGAGATCAAAGGTCAAAAACCAATATGATTGTATAACAGATATTGCTAAATGGGCTCAGGAAAACCATTGTCAGTAAACACAGTTTGTTGCTGCATCTACAAATGCAAGCTGAGACTATATCAACAACATCCAGAAACTGTGTCCAGAAACATTTTTGGGCCCAAGCTCATCTGAGATGGACTGACAAAAAGTGGAAAAGTGTGCTGTGGTCTAAGGAGTTCACATTTTAAATTGTTTTTGGAAATCATGAACATCGTGTCCTTCGGGATAAAGAGGAGAAAGACCACTAGGATGTTTACCAGCTCAAAGTTCAAAGCCAGCATCTGTGATGGTATGGGGGTGCGTTTGTGCCCATGGTATTGTGGGTAACTTGCACAACGGTGAGGGTGCCATGAATGCTGAAAGGTACATACTGGTTTTGGAGCAACATATGCTGCCATCCAGATGATGTCTTCTTCAGGAAAATCTCTGCTCATGCCAGCAAGACAATGAGACACATTCTGCACATTCCAACAGCGTGGCTTTGTAGTAAAAAGATGCAGGTATGAGACCAACGTGCCTGCAGTCCAGACCAGTCTGCCACTGACCAATTCAAATCGACTGTCAAGCACCTTTAGTGGTATGTCAGGCAAGAATAAGAATGAATTTCACTTTCAAAACTTCAACAATTAGTGTCCTCAGTTCTCAAACGCTTAGAGAGTATCTTTAAAAGAAAAAATGGTAATATCACACAGTGGTAACCATGCCCCTGTCCCAACTTTTTGGAACATGTTGCAGGCGTCAGATTCAGAATGTATGTTGTCATGTGTATGTTTACAAAAAACAACAACAATAAAGTTTAGCATTTTGTACATTAAATATCTTGTCTTTGGGCTGGAGTCAATTAAATATAGGTGTAAACAGATTTGCAAATTATTGCCTTCTGTTTTTATTTATGTTTCACACAGTGTCCCAACCTTTTTGGAATAAGCGTTTAAGTACATTTAAAATTGTATGTGCAGTACTTGGGTAAATGTACTAACTTTACATTCTGCCACTGAAAATCAGAGTTGAAGTGTACACTAGTGCATGTTTTTGGAAGTGCCACCTCATGGTATTGACTGAATGGGCATGTTTACAGTGAAATCTAGACACGCCTTGTCAGGAAACAGGAGGAGGGGAGGAGACTCCCACTGACTGAGAGTTGACTGGTAACTGACTGGAAAACTGATGTCAGCACCTAAAAGGCTTTTGGCTGGGGCACAGAATACAGTGTCGGAGCCCAGTGGTCCCTGGCCCTGAAAGTGCAAGGACCCTAATGTTGTTATAGTTGTTTCTAGTGTTGCCTGGTGGACACAGGAAGTGGTACAAAATTTCCAATAGTCATTTCCACTGCCACACACTCTATGCAGGAATAACATCTAAGTTGTATACCCAGTGTGCAACAGTTGTTTAAATGCATGCCCGTATCAGCCAGCGTCCTGCCAGTACCCCAGACTTGCGGGAAGGTGTGAGGGCCCGCTTGTTGCTGCTTGCAGCTTTTTTAGTTTTGTTGAAGTGTGTCTTTTATTGTCTTTTAAACCTTATTCCATTAAAATCAAATAACCACTATTGTTGCCTTATTTTTAGGTTGACCATAAAGCCAAGGAAATCATACCTAAGGCAGACCTCCCCAGCCCCAGGAAAGAGTTCAGCGCATGTGCCATTGGCTGTAAGGTTTATGTCACAGGAGGAAGAGGATCAGAGAACGGAGTCTCTAAAGATGTCTGGATCTATGACACTGTCCATGAAGAATGGTCTAAAGGAGCACCCATGCTAATAGCCAGGTGAGTTAAGTTAAATTACAGTAAACAGAAAACTAACAGAAGCATGTCATATAACTCTTCCACATTTATGTGTGGTCTGTCAATATTAATGTTTATTTAGAGTTTTACAAATTCATTTTGAGTGGTACAAATGTATGTTGAGTGGTACACATTCATATAGAGCAAAGTTGAAAATTAGCACCCACCACTGGCCAAATGTAGGTGAAAGTGATAGATGGTGGGGTAATTTGATCAACCTACCAGACACAGTGGCGGGTAGACAAAGGGGACATTTAACAAATTACTGAATCTCTCAGTCTACAAGCTGCTTGAAAGCAGCAGGCGTAAGGCAATGGGCTTTTTCTTCATTGCAGTGATTGGCACCTTGGGGGTTGCGATCGAATGTGTGTTAGCACATTCAATGTGTTTCCATTCACAGACCCTACAATGATGGAGCAATGCTGGCCACCGTCCTTGTCTTGTACACACTTCTCCGTTAATGTTGTAGCTTACCAGGAACCCATGGGGGGGTTGGGTCCTCCAGCTCCCGGCGTTTCATTTGCACTTGCCAAAATGTGGCTGACATGCACAGCAATCCGCTTGTTGTGCTAACCTCAGCACATGTTGCTAGTGATGAGCTTAAAGTTTGTGTGTGTGTGTGTGTGTGTGTGTGTGTGTGTGTGTAACCACAAGTGACTATTACAAATAATAAATGAATACATTTATGGGAAAATGTGTATTTCTGTGCATATTATTATTATAATAATAATAATAATTATTATTATCATTATTATTGTTATTATTATTATTGTAATTTATTTATAGCAAGTCAGGCATTACACAAAAGTTAGTTATACACAAAAGTGATTACAGAATGATGGCTAGTAAACAAAAATATAAGTGGCTGGTAGAATTGAGGATCTACCACCAAAATCATACTGTCTTCTTCTTCTTCTTTCGGCTGTTCCCTTTAGGGGTCTCCCCAGTGAATCATCTGCCTCCTTCTAACCCTATCCTCTGCATCCTCTTCTCTCACACCAGCTGACTTCATATCCTCTTCCACAACATCCATAAATCTCCTCTTTGGTCTTCCTCTAGGCCTCTTGCCTGGCAGTTCCCACTTCAGCATCCTTCTACCGATATATTCACTATCCCTCCTCTGAACATGTCCAAACCATCTCAGTCTGGCCTCTCTGACTTTATCTCCAAGACATCTAACATGAGCTGTCCCTCTGATGTACTCATTCCTGATCCTATCCATCCTCGTCACGTCTAAAGAGAACCTCAACATCTTTATCTCTGCTACCTCCAGCTCTGCCTCCTGCTTTTACCTCAGTGCCACTGTCTCTAAACCAAACAACATCACTGGTCTCACCACCATCTTGTACACCTTTCCTTTTAATCTTGCTGGTACTCTTCTATCACACATCACACCTGACACTTGTCTCCACCCATTCCAACCTGCTTGCACATGTTTCTTCACCTCTTTTCCACACTTTCCGTTGCTCTGGGCTGTTGACCCTAAGTAATCCTCCACCTTCTTTATTTTTACTCCCTGTAACCTGACAGTTCCACTTGGGCCCTTCTCATTTACACACATGTATTCTGTCATTCCTCTCCTTTCCAGGGCATACCTCCACCTCTCTAGATTTTTCTTCATCTGCTTCCTGCTCTCACTACAGATCACAATGTCATCTGCAAACATCATAGTCCATGGAGTTTCCTGTCTAGCCTCATCTGTCAACCTGTCCATCACCATAGCAAACAAGACGGGGCTCAGAGCTGATCCTTGATGCAGTCCCACTTCCACCTTAAACTCCTCTGTCTCACCTACAGCACACCTCATCACTGTCCTACAGCTCTCATACATGTCCTGCACCACTCTAACATACTTCTCTGCCACTCCAGACTTCCTCATACAATACCACAGCTCCTCTCTTGGCACCCTGTTATATGCTCTCTCTCAAAGACAAAGATCAACAAAGACACAATGCAGTTCCCTCTGACCTTCTCTGTACTTCTCCATCAACATCCTCAAAGCCAATACTGCATCTATAGTACTTTTTCTTGGCATGAAACCATACTGCTGCTCACAAATGCTCACTTCTGCTCTTAGTCTTTCCACTACTCTTTCCTATAGCTTCATTGTATGGCTCATCAGCTTTATCCCTCTGTAGTTGCCACAACTCAGCACGTCTCCCTTGTTCTTAAAAATCGGCACCAGCACACTTCTCCTCCATTCCTCAGATATCCTCTCACTCTCTAAGACCTTGTTGAAAAACCTAGTCAAAAACTTTACTGCCACCTCTCCTAGACACTTCCATACCTCCACAGGTATATCATCAGGACCAACTGCCTTTCCACTCTTCATCCTCTTCAGTGCCCTCCTCACTTCAACCTTACTAATCTTTGCTACTTCCTGCTCCACAATGGTCACCTCTTCTACTCTTCTCTGTTCTCTCTCATTTTCCTCATTCATCAACTCTTCAAAGTACTCTTTCCATTTTCCCTTCACACTTGCAGCACCTGTCAATACATTCCCATCTCTGTCCTTAATCACCCTAACCTGCTGCACATCCTTCCCATGTCTAGCTCTCTGCCTTGCCAGCCTGTATAAATCGGTCTCTCCCTCCTTACTGTGCAACCTATCATACAAGTTGTCGTACGCCCTTTGTTTGGCCTTTGCCACCTCTACCTTCACCTTACACTGAATCTTCCTGTACTCCTGTCTACTCTCTTCAGTCCTCTCAGTGTCCCACTTCTTCTTAGCTAACCTTTTTCTCTGTATACACTCTTGCACTACCTTATTCCGCCACCAGGTCTCCTTTCCTTCCAAATGACACACCAAGCACTCTACCTGTCTCTCTGATAACATTAGCTGTAGTTGCCCAGTCATTTGGGAGCACTTCCTGGCCACCCAGAGCCTGTCTCAACTCCTCCCTGAAAACCACACCACCCTCTCCCTTTTTCAGCTTCCACCACTTCGTCCTCTGCTCTGCCTTTGTCCTCTTCATCTTCCTCACCACCAGAGTCATCCTACACACCACCATCCTATGCTGTCTGGCTACACTCTCACCTACCATGACTTTGTAGTCACTGATCTCCTTCAGATTACATTGTCTACACAAGATGTAGTCCACCTGTGTGCTCCTACCTCCACTCTTATAAGTGACCCTATGTTCTTGCCTCTTCTGAAAGAAAGTATTCACTACAGCCATTTCCATCTTTTTTGGAAAGTCTACCACCATCTGTCCTTCTGCGTTCCTATCCTGGATACCAAACTTGCCCATCACTTCCTCATCACCTCTGTTCCCTACCTTGACATGTCTGCACCAATCACCACTCTCACCTCTAGGGACATTCTGCATCACTTCATCTAACTCACTCCAGAATTTCTCCTTCCCTTCTAATTAACGTCCTACCTGTGGGGCATAACCACTAGCAACACTGAACATCACACCTTCAATTTCTAGCTTCAGACTCATCACCCTATCTGACACTCTTTTCACCTCCAGAACATTCCTAACAAACTCCTCCTTAAGGATAACTCCAACTCCATTTCTCATCCCATCCACACCATGATAAAACAGCTTGAACCCTGCTCCTAAGCTTCTAGCCTTGCTACCTTTCCACCTGGTCTCCTGAACACACAGTGTATTCACCTTCCTCCTCTGCATCATGTCAGCCAACTCTCCAGCTTTCCCTGTCATAGTCCCAACATTGAAAGTCCCTACTCTCAGTTCTAGATTCTTGCCTTTCCTCTTTTCTCCCTGCCTATGAACACGCCTTCCTCCTCTCCTTTTTCGACTAACAGTAGTCCAGTTTCCATCGGCACCCTGTAGGTCAACAGCACCGGTGGAGGTCGTTGTTAACCCGGGCCACGACTGATCTGGTATGGGAGTCATATTCGTGATTCACATGTGTGATTTGGCATAGGTTTTATGTCGGATGCCCTTCCTGACACAACCCTCTGCATTTATCCGGGCTTGGGACCGGCCCAGTGAGAACGCTGGCTTGTGCCCCCTTGGGGCTGCATTCAGAATCATACTGTCTGAATTTCTAAATACCCTGGTATTTTGTGATACCTCGAGAAAGCTTAAGCCTACCTTCCTCCATGGAGTATTGACATGTCAGAGTTGCCCTTGATCAAGCGTGTTTATTCTGGATTCACACTAAAGGACTTTTACTCAGCATCCTGACATCAAAGGATAATTGGTGATCAACCACTGGGTCACCTTCACTCAACTGAAAAAGCTCTCAACAACCCCCCACATCACCTGATGTGACTGGAGAGTTTACGACACGTCGCAAACTCTGGAAACAAAGAAACAGACTCATCCACATGGCCTGAAAGGTGTTTCAAACGTAACTTTATTGTCTCACATGTTGGTGTCATGCAGGAAGAAGACTCGGCATCAGGTCCCCTATGGTGCAGACGACTGTGTGTACTGTATGTTAATGTCATAACACCTTTCCCTGCAGTTGTCTTTTAAGAGGAAAGACAGAAACGTGGATTCCAGGGACCAACATGTCTTGACTATAATTTTATGTTTCACCTTTCTCTCTATTTCAGTGTATATACATACAAAGGTATATATATCTGATGTTATGACATGATCACCATGTATAACATCGAAATCTAAATTAGTAGTGTCTGTTGACCACTTATCTATAAGTTGGTAATATCCTGTTGCAGACAATGTGTGTTTGGTATCATTCAATAGCAGACAGCGCCACGTTGATAAATATGGAAGCATTAGAAATGTCCCAAGCTTCAGTAACCATTTAGGAAGCAATTAAAGTAAATTAAACTTTAATTTAGCGAAGGTACAGGAGGGGAGGAGTGAAATGTCCCGCCAGTGACAGTGAACTGCTCCTACTGGACATCAGCCTGAGAAGACAGCTGGCAAGGCCAATCACAGCACAGAGGCCAGAGCCTGCCTGCCAGTCTCAACCCCTTTGAACAACTATAAGATGAGTGAAAAGGAGGAAAGTTAGAGAGAGAAAGAGACAAAGAACTT